ATAGTAGTCCCTCGCTACTTTGCAGTTCTTTTATCGCGGACTCGCTCTATCGCGGTTTTTCAAAATAACATTGGACATGAACTACAATTGGCTCGTTGATGGATAAGCCACATGATCGGCATGGCATTTTTATTTAAAATTAATTATTTTAATTTATTTAGCACCTACTGCACTTTTGTGCAGCCCACACTGCATAAACTTCCTGCTGCAGCTGATCAGCTGTTCTCCGTGCAGAGCAGAGAAGTGGGCGTGGCCAAGAGCACTTGCAGAGGGCAAAGAGCAGAGGAGGCAGAGAGATGAAATCATGACATTCTGTGCACTTTTAGAGCATTTAGAGCTTAGAAACATTGTTTAGAATGTTGCAAGAGTGTGGGAAGGGTTTAAAACGCCATATATACCGTACATATATATATATATATATATATATATATATATATACGAATACTAAAATAAACTACTAGTTACTACTTGTACTTTTACGGTATTCCTACTTCGCGGTTTTTCACTTATCGTGGGGCTTCAGGGTACGGATCTCTGGCGATAAACGAGGGGGACTACTGTGTATATATAAATATACACCACTACAACATGCGCCGCTGGTGTAGTGGTATCATGCAAGATTCCCATTCTTGCGACCCGGGTTCGTTTCCCGGGCGGCGCACTACCTTCAGGTCTCTCTTGTAAATGAGTCCTCAAGGCTCAATGGGATTTACCTGTATAAATAAAGGTTGATTGATTGATAAACACCACCTTTTATATTTGTGAGTTATCTTGATGGAATTGGCCGATGTCCGATATTTAACTTTATCGCTAATATTGGCTGATACTGATACCATGCCAACAATATTGTATATCCCTAGTAGTTACTGTAAAATATTGCACAACTCAAAAACATTTTAGGAATGAAAGGCCTAGCATTCCTTGAAATAATTTGTGTTGCCCACAGCCTGAGTCATAGACACACAGAGAGACCAAAACATTATCACATCCACATGCAGGCGATAATAAAGAACTGCTGTTGCAACTAAACTACTTCTTATGTAGTGCATGAACTGTACCATTTGATCTGTTAAACTGTAAAGTGCTGTAAAGTTGTGATTTCTTGACTCATTTTATTTGTTTTTCCACCATTTATTCTTTGCACCCATGAATCGCAGTTCTACTCAAAAAACATCTATTTTGAAAGCTCACATTGTGGTTGTAATATTTATTTATTTATTTGCTTTGGAGACAACAGCCTTCAAAAAGCATTATTTCTAAAACTGCCTAATGTAACTAAAAGCTCTCCTCCATGCTCCAATCCCTGACAATCCCCTGTTCTCTTTGTCCCTGTGTTTTGTAATCTTGCATCCAAAGTCAATTTACAAAGATTGCTTCTTTATCCACCCACTCATGTATTTGAACTCCAGAGGATAATTCACTATTTCAACCCCAAACACTTTTATAGAGACAAAAAGGAACCTCCAGCAGTACTTTCTCACAGGCCAAGTGCGTCTGTATAGCTATGTGTCATTTCTGTGCCGAGGTTGATGCACGACAGCAAAGAGGACAAACTTGTGAATGAAGAGCGAGGACCTCTGTCACCTCATCTGCCCTCTGTGCCGCGCTCTTTCCTGCCCTTCTGTTTTTATATAACACACGTTATTTCCCCTCCCGCTCTCATGCTTCTCTCACATGCTCTCACACTCTCCTGTCTATCCCCACAAACTGGCCCAGCTGTCCATCAGCCCCCCCACGACTCCCCCAGCTGTCTGCCCTCCCTGAACACGAATCCCAACAACAATACAGGTCACAGGTCAAGAGAAAGAACAGGCTGCGCTCACAATAGACCAGTGGCGCCCACTAAAACAATCGTTCCCTATTCTTCGGTAGCCTTTCTGCACTTTATCCAGAACTGGAAAAGACAAACATTTGAAGAGGTAGCTGAAAACAGAGGGGGGTTCTCTTGGACAAGAGACTCCAAAGCATCTTTTTCTTCATGCAATTGTGCCAAAGGTCCACAAGGATAAACACACTTGTACACACCATCGCTAACTCTCCCCACTCCATTTCTGCACCCTGTGCTTTGTTTATTTCAAGAGCCACCGTGTCCTTCAGTGTGATCATTAAAGTCAAAACTGAGCCTGTGCTCATTAGGTGACTGATGGACATGTGTTGGGAACTTGGCTGGGTGTACTCTAAAAAATAATTTCTTGCTGAAAGGGTTTTCGATGATGGAGAGTTCATTATATTTTGCACATCATCCATAAGGCGTCTCTGCAGAGATCCCATTCTTCTCTTGCTCTCAGTAAATGTGCATGACTGATTGGAAAATGACTTCTCGCCCCACAGTGTTTTGGCATGAGCCTGATGGGAAAATGGGGCACATGTGAGAGAAAGTGAACGCTCACCTGTTCCCCTGAGCTGTTTTTCCCATGCCCCCCCCCCCACAGCAGCCTCCCTCCTGACCTCATATGAGACCTCAGAGCAAGTCTTTAAATGACATCATGCACTGACTCAACCCACAGATGCTCACATCCTGCAACAATTCCCTGCTATCTGCCTCCATTCTTTCATCATTCACCTTTTTATTTTATCATTTTAGCTTCTGTGAAATTATTTCCTTTGAGCAGAACTCCGTTTTTACATCTTAAACTGTTAAACTTAGCTCTTATCAAACATAAACTTGCATCCAATTGCTATTAAGATTGTTGCACATTTTAAAATAAAAAGTGACTGGAAGGAGCAAACACCAATATGAGTGTGTTTTGTGCGTAACTTAAAAAAAGAAGCTAAAATTTGATTTACTTACAATAGACTTTTGTTGGTAAAATATAAAGAAGGGACATTTAGTATTGATTTATTTGTTTGATGAAGTAAAGTTTTGAGGAAAAAATGTTTTATTCATGAAACTTAAATAATTATCTATGATTTTTATATTATTTAAGTGCTCAATTAATATGCTAGGCATCAAAGCACTGAAATGGGATAATAATATAACATAAAAAAGCCATGCCACACATTGTTACTATGGAAATAGCATATAATATAAGAATATTTATTCAATTAAGTGCGAAACGGAAAAATATGAACAGAACATTTTTGACAAAAAATTGTAACACAAAATGAACAAGTACCTGAAAGACATCTGAATAAATAGCTTAAATACAGTACAGCTATGGCAACAATAGACAAAAAAAGACAGTGAAATAAAATTTGTGCTGAAACAAAAATAAAAAATGACATGGAATCATCAAAATAAATATTAAATATACATAAATAAATGTATTGCTTTCCTTAAATCAGGACATTGACTGTAAACCTTAGTGCACAAATTAACCTGGGTTTATTGGATGAGCTCTTGTTTTGCAAAGCTCTTGTGTTCAAACATGAATGTTTTGGTCAATTAATCCTTAGTTGTGCTCTTTTAACAACTGAAATGGTAATTTATTCAGAAATAACGAGACCAAATGTATACATATAATAAAAACATGAAAGAATAAATAATTTATTGTTAATGCGTGCATGTTTGCATCAGGTAGACTGAGTTGAGGTGATGAGTCTCTCCCTCGTTGAGCTTTCGCTGCTCTCCAGAGCTCGACAACATAAATCTAAACCATAGTCAGAACAGCGGTGATCATTTTTACAGCAGTTTGTACACTGGTCCAGTTCTCTAGATGGTGCTTATCTGAGACGTGACCAGGTGGGAGGGGGCAAAGGAGTCAAAGGTCACATCCAGGGGCAGCTCATAGCGAGAAGCCTGACTCGGAGGCCCCACTGGTAAGCTGCCGGTCGTGGTAAAAGGGTAATGGTGGGATGAGAGGTAGTGGGCATGGTGAGCAGAATGGGCCGTGTAGTTCCTATCTGATTCATGTGGAGAAGGCTCCTGCTTCAGGGCAAAATTACTGTTGATGCTGAGGGGGGGTGTCAGGGGCCCATCGTATGGAGGTGTGCCGCTGCTGCACTCGTGAGGGGAGGAGTTGTCGTACAGGGGCCCTTTCAGTCCCTTCATGTGAAGGAGGTGGGATGCCTCCAGGGAGCCATAAGGTGGGCTGGGAAGGCCTGGGGATGGGTAGCTGAGGGGATGCCCTGTCACCCCATTAGCAACTCCTGGGCCTCCACATTTGTCCTCCAGCTTGTCCAAAATTAGAGGAGAGGGTCCAAGCTGCAGGCAGCCAGCCACGAGGTTACTAGTGGGCTGAGACAGACCTTTACACAGCATCTCCACAAACCCATGGCTCTCTGGGGACTGACCGTTCTCCAACACCTCCGACAGAGCCCAGATGTAGTTGCGGGCCAGCCGCAGAGTCTCAATCTTGGACAGTTTCTGTGTTTTGGAGTAGCAGGGCATGACTCTGCGCAGGTTGTCCAGAGCATTGTTCAACCCGTGCATGCGTGAGCGTTCTCTGGCGTTGGCCTTGATCCTTCGGGTACGAAACCTCTCCTGTCTAGCTTTGGTCATCTTCTTCTTCTTGGGGCCTCTCCGTTTGGGACCTGTTTCTCCATTTGGTCCACTCTCCTCTTCATTATCATCATCGTCATCATCCTCTTCTTCTTCCTCCATGTCCTCACTGCCAAGTTCTGTGCAGGAGTGGATCCGGGCCCCAACTGCCAGGCCATGGCGAACCCTCATCTCTGGACTTTCGTCTCCATCCTGAGAGCTGCCGTCTTCATCCAGCCAACTGAGGGAGCTCACCAAATCACTCACATCTCCACTCTTCCCAAAAGGTCTGGTCATCATTTTGATCTGAAAAAAGAAAAACAGCCCAAAGTGTCTGTTATTTGTTCTTTTGTCCAGTCTCTGATCACTTGTGTTGTTTTAAACTGACTCATCCACATGAAAACATGTCAAAGCCTCCAAAATAAAAGCACCTTCAGCGTTGCAGGGTGCTCCCTGAGTCAGTGCCTTTCAAATAAAAATAATAATAATTAAAACTTGTAATATGGATATGAAGGGTAATATTTCAATACTGAAGAAAAAGTTTGTCTTTTGGACAAGAGGGGCAGGTTTTGCCCCCTTTGTATCTTATTGTTATTATATTGTGCTTAATTGGTTCTGGGCAGGGGGGTGCTATTTTGCAGAAAATTGTTGCTCACTGATGCTCAAAAGTGCAACACATTATTGAAATTTCTGAATTAAAAAGATGTAATCAGAACTAATTTATTTTAGACTATGTTTAAAAGAATACATTATTTTTAATGAGAGAAATATTTTTAACCAATTTGAAAATATGCAAGAAGTTGCTCATATTTTTAAACAAGACAATTTCACCCCCCCCCCCCCCCCCTTTTTTTTTTAAAATGTTATATGAACAAAATAACACAAACTCACCTGTTTGGATTCAGCCCTTGCTGTCAACTGATATCACAAGTGAAAGAAAGAGAAAAATAAAAATCCAGACTAGCTTTGTTTTTGCTTTTTTTTTCTCGTGCACCCTCCTGTTCAAAGCTGTGGTCCTCCCCTTAGACAGCCATGAGCGCGCATGCAACTTTCATGTCTAAATGATCGGATCAGACGAATGATTCTGCTTTTAGCTGGGTAAGCACCTCCCTCTGCCGCCCCACCCACAGCTAACTTATTCAAAAGCGCGTGTCGGGCCGGAGACAAGAGATTCACTCTTGTCTAGAAAAAAAAAAAAAAAAACTTAAACGTGCGCAGAACAGGGAGGTCGTGCACTCTGGTGCACATGTGGCCCATCCTACATTAACATATATGGCTATATTAAAAAATACACTGTGAGAGAAGGTGCGTTCAAAGATGGAAACAGTGCGCACCTGGTGCCAAAGTGTTCAGATGAGAAGGTTTGCGCGTTTTTATCCAGCCATTGACTCATCTGCCATGCTCTGAAATAAAATCTGATCATCAACTAACATAGATAATCTGTAAAAAAAAAAAAAAAAATCAAATTAGCTCTCGTTCTGATGACAAACACGCTTCACATTGTCTTGTTGCGTAAATGAAACAAGATATTTGGTGCAATAACATACTTTTATTTTATTTTATTTATTTATTTTTGGTTGCAAACTGACCAGCTCGGTCTCAGTCAGAACAGAACTGAGGTCATGTGCTCTTTCAGTTTAGTAAAAATCCTTTCTGAGCTAGAGAAACTACATTTTCTGCAAAACTGCAGAATGAGCGCGCGCGCTGGCTGAAAAAGCTGAAGTTATCAGATTTAAAAGTGGCTAAAAGGAGCAAAACACGAACAGTTTTGAACAGTTTTTTTTAACTAAAAGTTTGACAAGATTGAAAAGTGAATTTTTTTGGGACATACTGAAGAGTGATCATTGTATTTAAAAAATATGAATAAGGTTTTGAAAAGTATTTTTTTTTAAACCTAAACGTGAAAGCATCTCCTGAATGTTTTAATTTATGAAAAGAAGCACAAAATGTGAATTAAATGCAAAAAAAAAAAACGTACGGAAAAAAAAACCCAATGGTGTGAAAGCTGCAGATTGTATATGATAAACCAGCTCAGAGTGGGGAAACATCCACACTGCGCTGTTAAGTGGGTTGCCTCAGTGTGTCGTCATTAGTCGGTTGAATTAGGAATTTTCCACCTAATTAAACTCAGAGCAGGCAGGCACGGTGTTGGAGTGAAGAGACGCTCCTCCTCGTGCGCGCATTTAAGTGATTCTGACAGCTTGGTGCGCAAAGAGCAGGTGCGTGCGCGTTCTTTAGCCGCTGATTCGATTGTTTTCATCCATTTTTAGCGTCACGCCCTGAAATACAATCTGATTATTGAATCGACCCGTGCAGTAAGAGACACACAGGTACTTCATGAACTGCGTTACAATCGACACTTATTGGCTTTCCAACTTTTTTTGGATTTTCTGTTTAATTTTTGTTGTGTTTGCGGCAAACTATTAAATGTTTATTATTAAATTGGATGCTTTTAAAAAGTACATTTCTAACTCAGCTGAGTCACTGAAATGCCTCCTTGGTGTTTGTGATAAAGGTAATTCCACCGCGTAAATCACAGCCCGCCAGTCTCGTGCGCAGCAAGCCGCGGCGCAGCGGGGGGTCATTGTCATCGCCCGCCACTCACAGCCTGGCTCTCGCGACTTGCACGTGCCCCCTCATTGATCCCATTGTTGTGCGCGCGCGAGTGTGCTCGTGAGTGAACTTCAGCAACTGTGGCTCTTCATTCTGGTTTTTCTTTTTTTCTTCTTCTGTTTGTTTGGGTTTTTTTTCACGCGACTCATTTGAATACGCGCTCAGCAGAAACGTCGCATAAAACGGGCACTTATCCGACGATTTATTGCGCAGAGACTAACAGATGGTCGGGTATAGGAAGCTTTTGGAGGGGACGTGAGGGGGGTTGGGGTGAGGTGGGGGCATCTGTTGCTTGGATGCGCGAGCGTGACGCGCTCCATGCCTATAAGACGATGTCTGGTGCTGAAAACAGTTTATCCACCTAACGGTCCCCGCGGCCCCTGGTCAGCGCGCGCGCGAGTCATAAAGGCATGAGGCGAGATGAGCTGTGTGTGTGTGGGGGTGGGGGGGTGGGGTGGGGGGGGGATAATATGATGAGCTCAGAACTCCCCAGGTACAGTGTTAGAATGGCCTCATCACACCTGCAGTCTGAAGAGAACTGAAGCTTCCCTGTTTCCCACAATCCCCCGCGGCATCCCAAATGACTGACTGATTACAGAAAAGGGAATTAGCCTGCTCCAATTTAGGCAGTAAGGTAGACAGCCAAACCTCTGGAAGAGGCCATGAAGTCTGCACCAACTTTTGATGAGTTTGCTTTATGTTTATTTAAAAATTAATCAAACAGTATCTTAATTTTTACAAGTATGTTAGGAAATACACTGCCTGGCCACAAAAAAAAAAAAAAAAAAAAAAAGCCGCCTGTATCTGGATTTAACTAAGAAAATAGATACAAGCCTCCTATTGGATAATTACTGCATGGGTGATTATCTTTCAGCTGGCAACAAGTTATTTAACTCCAACTGGTGCAATGAGTTGCTTCTAATTTCTTAAACAACCATGTTGAAAGATACATCGCGTGGTTGTGGAAAAGATGTCAGTCTATTTGAGAAGGGTCAAATCATTGGCATCAAGCAGAGAAAACATCTAAGGCATATGTGTCAAACTCAAGTCCTGGGGTCCAAATGTGGCCCTTGTTGACATCTTATCTGGCCCCCAAGATGTTATTTTAAATCTAAAATACTTTCATCTTTTTAATTTTTTCAATATTCTTTGATTATGTTGTCAAAAGTGCAACAGAGAACGTCAAATGAGACCAATCAAACTCTTGTTGAGGAACCTGCAACCAAGAAAAGATGTTTGGTATCTTAACTTGAGTTAATGTAGATTCTGAAACTGGCCCTTAGTTTGAAAAAGGTTTTCATTTTGACCCCCCCCCCCCCCCTTTTTTTTTGTAAATGAGTTTGGCACCCTTGATCTAAGGAGATTGCAGAAACTACTAAAACTGGGCTGGGTTAAGAACTATTAGAAACTAGGAGGATAGTGGGGACCAATCGTCTTCGAGGAAGAAATGTGGCCAGGAAAAAAATGTGGCTTACTGTACAAGCCCGTGGGGGGCAGTGATCTAGGGCTGCTGCAGTTGGTCAGGTCCAGGTTCAGCAACAGTATGTGCTCAAAGAATGAGGTCAGCTGACCTGAATATACTGAATGACCAGGTTATTCCATCAATGGATTTTTTTCTTCCCTGATGGCACGGGCATATTCCAAGATGACAATGCCATGATTCATCGGGCTCGAATTGTGAAAGAGTGGTTCTGGGAGCACGAGACGTCATTTTCACACATGGATTGTCCACCACAGCGTCCAGACCTTAACCCCACTGAGAATCTTTGTGATGTGTTGGAGAAGGCTTTGCGCAGTGGTCAGAATCTGCCACCATCAATGCAAGATCTTGGTGAAAAATTAATGCAACACTGGATGGAAGTAGATCTTATGACAGTGCAAAAGCTTATTGAAACAATGCCACTGCGAACGCATGCTGTAATCAAAGCTAAAGGCGGTCCAACAAAATATCAGTGTGAACTTTTTTTTGGTGGCGACTTTTTTTTTTTGGTCAGGCAGTGTATATAATCTTTTGAGTGAGATTGCTACTTGTAGAGTTTATGACCCACCATCAAAAGCAAATAGGCAATAAAATGTTTGCTTGGTTGTGTGTAATTTTGCCTGTTGTGTTAGCAAAATATTTCATGAACCACTAGACAGATTTAATTGAAACAGTAAGAAATTACCAGTAATCTTTGGGTGTTGTACCAGTTTACCTTGGGTGTCAGTCTAATTTAAGATTGTTGCTACAACTAATCAAATGCAAGAACAGCTATAACTTAGGATGCATTTCTTTAAGAGCCAACAAGGCCTTTAATTTAAATATATGATCAAAACACCAATCCATGGTGAGAGCTATTGTTGCTGTTAGTATAATATCCCTTTTCTACTCATAAAAAAATTAAAGAAGAAAAAACTGCCACAAGTGAGTTGTGTCCTTCTGTCCCAGGGGACACGGAGTGGATTGGGAGGGATTTGTGCACTACGCTGACAGATGGGTCCTTGTTCCTGTCTTTTTCTTCATCTCTATCTCCCTCTCCCTCTTTTGCTAAAACACACACACGCACACACCAAGATCACAAGAATACAATGGGAATTAAAGCTCCGGTCTATGCACATGCTCTCCGGCTCGCTTCGGAAAGCTGAGCCCTTTGTAGGGATCATAAAAGATGGAGGCAAGTTGTCGGGGGCTGATGTGGCACAGGGTGGCAAGGATTTGTATTGTTGGCAAACTACGAGTTGAATTCACTTCTACATACATCTGCATTGTTTCCAACTGTTTTGCACACTTTATTTGAGATTCTAATCTATATTAGGCTTAAATGTAATTAATATTTTGTGAGTTACACATGCACTTCTTATACTGTACACACAGTCTTAACAAAACCCTTATATCCAGGTAAGATGTTTTTTTCATGAAACAAGATTTGGTGCATTTCAAAGTTTGAATTATATTTCACAAATTTCACAGAAACCAAAGTTTAAACGTGTATTTTTATTTTTTATTGGTTTAAATTCCAATTGTTGTGTGAATAGAAGATTACAGTTGTGTTTTTAATTTTCCCTGGCAGCAAACTGAAACATTTGACTCATTTTAAACAGAAATGCATTAACTTTTTTTTTTTTAAACGACTGAATTGCTTTTTTTGTTTTTTGGAAACCTTTGACTCTTGCAGTATCAGATTCAGCATCATCATTAATATAAAATACATATCTAGAACATGGGTTGTCAAGTCCATTAAACTAGTATGTCAGTAACTTCAATCTTCAGGCCACCATGGTGAATTTTGATAAGATCTATATAGCAGCAGTTCATCTTGACACTATAAGCAGATTGATTGTCGCTTATTCCTTTTTGCTTTGAGCTAATGGGTTAGGGAAGCATTCCAATCCAGCAGAAATGTGGCTACAGAATGGGAATCGGGCCTGAGGGCAATTCTCACTAAGTGAGGAGAGAGCCATTAAACAAAGGTGCCCGTGGTTTCAGATACAGGATACTTTACAACCTCCGTCCCAGGACATCAACACTGTTTTTTTTTTTTTGTTGTTGTGCAGTTGGGTGGGGGGGGGGGGGGGGGGGGGGTTATCCATCTGCCACGCTACTGGTCCTTGGAGAGATGGGCATATCCCTGGGGTGTTTTGGAGAGAGAGGGTCTGAAAGGATTACGCCCAGCCACTAATCAACAACGCTAATCTGTGGGCCCCCACACAAAATCCCGTCGGATCCTAACAACAATTTGAGACAGAGGATAAAAATCTCACTATACGTGGACGTTTTTCAGCTAATGAACAACATGTAAAATGGACAAAGACAGGTGATCTTTTGTTTGAAGGAGAATCAACAGCAAAGGTGTGATTGGCAGGGAGCCACACGGTGCATCTGTGATCAGGTGCAAGTATCCCACAAGTGGCCCAGTCTGAATCCCAGTGTGACCATTATGCAAATAGGGCAACTAGACAAGCCTCAGAAATAAATTTGCTGAATGGAAGAAACCATTTCACTAATCAAAATCAACTGCAGAATCTTTTCATTGTAAAGAATCTGATTATTGCAAGCTAAATGAACTAGATTTCTGTTAGATCACGTTTTCTGTTAAATGCTTTGCATTCAGTTTAGAAAGCTTGATTAGATTTTTTTTTTCGTATCACTATCATCCGACTGCAAGGTGAGCTCTGCAGAGCGGTTCCCCTTGAGCTTTATTCAAATGTCTCATCACAGCAGGAACCTACAGTACGTGCAGCTGCTGAGCTGTTGTCTTGGCAGGTCTCAGCTTCCAAATAGCAGACAATCAAGTTGCCACAAGTTTCATGCCCCTCCTTTCAGTGTGGTTTTGATGTCTTGGGTTTGTGGGGTCTGTATTTGGTGGATTTAAAGCTCCACGGAGCTATAAAACAGATGCATAATGCCAGTGCCAGTCCTCCAGGGCATAGAGAACCGGAGCATCCTGGCCTGCACCTCCTCTGCCTCCTGCAGAATACCCACTGGCTAGGCTGCCTCTAAGCTCCCTCTCCCTTCAGCCTCATTGTTTATTAGGCCCACCACTGTCAATATTAAGCCTGGCTAATGTGATCTAGAAGCAGCTGGAGCAGCCCTGATTATTACCATGACACAGTCGACTGAGGGTGTAATATCATTAAAAATAAATCAGGTGGTTTGGAGATTTGCTGATGCAGGGGGTACTCTGAATGACATTAGTTGGGAGAGCTGCCATAATTTCATTAGTCTGTTGGGGCACCTCGGAGGAGCTGTTAAAACATTTCCTTTAAGTTGGAGTAATTGAATCTGCTTTCACAACACTCAACATTAAATAAGGGGAATTGATCATTTTCCAATTTTATATCTGGCAATTCAGAGAAGAAAGTTTTGGAAAAACACCCACAGGAGACAAAAGGGATAATATTTTAATTTTCTAATTATTGCAATAAAGCCATACTGCTGATAATCCATTCCAGAGCAGACACACAGGATATTCCTGAAATTATCTCTGGCCTGTTGTGGATTATTGTTGGAAACGATAAAGAAAACGTGAGGCCCTGCTAATCCGCTTAAACTGTTTGACACTGAGCTGTCTGCTCGGCAGACTCCTGAGCGAATCAGCTGCAGGACAGACAGCAGGCTGACACAATCTATTATCATATCCAACAGTTGAAGTCTCCAGAATAAACACATTCTGCGATTGTAATTTATCTCATTCCATATTATTTTATTTTTGCTAAGGACATAATTTTATGAATTTGTGTTGTTGGTGTTTTAAAACCATATGTTTGATAAAAACCCTGAAGTGCTGTTGTGTCGCACAGCGAGGTCTTAGATCCTTATTGTTCTGATGCACGAGACGCGTAAACGATGATTTTAATAAGTGCTATGGATGGATGGGTGGATGGCACTTTAAGATCCACTTCTCTGTGCAGAAAGTCAATGCTGTGTGTTATAGTGACATCTACTGTTTCTTCTTTAGACTGCAGAGTCCCTTTGGTTAATGTGATTACTAGTTTATCTGCAATATCCTAAATGTTCAGCTGGATCTCATTAAGAAGCAGCACATGGTGCCGATAGTGGAATGGTTATTGTATTTATGTTGAATAAAATATATAAAAAGCTCATGAAAGAGTTTCAACAAATGTGACATTATGAAATATGAACTAAAGCCAACAATTAAAGAAACAACCAAACGAAGGTGTTTTTAATTTTATGGTAAAACATAGCATGAGGAACAGTTGGGGAAATGTGTGCTTCTGGATCTTTGAAAAAGAAAAAAGAACATGCAAGCTCGTGTTTTATTTATTTATTTTTTTAAGGGGAGAAAACATATCAGCACAGCAGGACGTTTTTTATGAAGACGCGTTATAAATGCTTTGACAGGAAAAAATTGTTGAAAACATTTACTGTATGGTTGTGACTTTATTGGCCAGAGTTCTGCACAGAAAAAGGCATGATTCTGTGAAATCATGGAGCTCAGAGAAACTTTAAAAAGTATTGCCTGATATCAGTAAAATTAATGATGCAAACAAAATTAAGCTGTAAAAAAGATCAAAAGTGAACATCTTTTCATGGCCAAAGTCATTAAAACCCAACTGGTGAAGAGCCCATATTTTTAGATGACATCATCTTAAAGGGGAATCAAACTGTAATGCTGCATAGGAACTGTTGAAGTTCAAGCCATTTGATGACCTTATATCCATGTTTTAAATAAATAAGTTAAGCCAACTATTAAAATGTGGCAAATACCTGTTGTGATTGCTGCACAAAATACACATTTCTGCAAATAGGAATTTTCTTATTATTTTCCTCTTCTGAGTCATTCAGAAATATCATGTGTTTTACAAAACAATATAAACCTTTTTTTTATTAAGTACATAGCAGTGTCCAAGATTCTGCAGGATCTATGAACATGAACAGATTTTGTGGAGAGGAGTCAAACAGTTTGTTTCCAATTGGCTCTTACATCCTGATGCTGCTCAAAAACCCAGGTAGATAAATCTAACAAAGAAGTCATGTCCTCTGGACAGATTCTTCTTTGCTGATACGTTTAGTCTTATGTTCAAAAGACTTTTTGGAAAAAAAGACTAAACGTATCAGCAAAAAATAATCTGTCCAGAGGATATGACTTGACCTTGTTAGACTGTCAATAAAATATGTTTTCATAACCTCTCACTCTTTTTAAGCAACCGAACAAACTAATGTGTTTCTTAGATATTTTGACTAAACCGCATACAGAAATACACACTTTTCTGACACAAAGAAGCATGTGCTTGGATTCTGCAGTTAAATCTAAATGTGGGTTATGTGTTGTTTAGTTGTCACATGCAGGTTAAAACAAGGACAACAATGCAATGAAATGTTCAGGATGAAAAGAAAAGATTCGACTGAGAATTATTGGATAAGATACCTGGATGATTGAGCATGAACTTTGTTGACTCTCTAAAAACAAACAAACAAACAAGCAAAAAAGAAATACTAAAGCATGCAAGCAATAAGAGTACAAAATAAAATACCAAAAAGTGAAAAAGAAATATAATATTTACAAGGTCAAAGAGAAATACAGTGAACAACAACATGGTAGAATATAACAGTGCAAGTACGATGAATTAGTATGAATAAGCATTTCAAGGTAGTAATATTCGCTTAAATGCACATGATATATATTGCACATTAACATATACTACACAGGTTGTGTGACAGGTTGTTGCAGGTAGTGAGTAACATTGAGACTAATTGAATTATGATGGTAAGGTAGTGACATACATGATGCAGCCACATCGTGCAGCAGCAATAAACATACTAGTAGTTATCACAGATGTGGCTTGGTGCAATGTTATTGTCAATTGTTCAGTATAATCAAGAGTTCAGTAATCTGACAGCTTGTGGGTAATAACTGTCTTTGAGTTTTTTCGTGCACAATGACAGACTCCTCTGCCTGAGAGTAGATGGAAAAGTCCTTGTGCTGGGTGGGTGTGGTCCTTAATGATGCTGTGTGCTTTACGCAGACATCAGCTGTGGTAGATGTCCTGGATGGTGTGGAGACTGCTGCCAGTGATGTCCTCTGCTGTTTGCACCACCCTCTGTAGTGCTTTCCAGCTCTGACTGGTGCAGTTCCCGTACCGCCCTGTGATGCAGCCTGTCAGCAGGCTCTCAACGGTGCACCTATAAAAGTTGGTGAGGATGCTGGTGTTCGTACCAAACTTCTTTAGTCTTCTTAGGAAGTAGAATCTTTGCCGGGCTTCCTTGACCACAGTGTCTGTATGTAAAGTCCAGGACAGATCCTCAGTAATGTGAACGTTGAGGAACTTGAAGCGGCTGACTTGCTCCACCTCAGCGTTGTTTATGTAGATGGTGGAGTGCTGGCCTCCACACTGTTTCCTGAAGTCCACTATCATCTCCTTTGTTTTTCTGACATTTAGAGAGAGGTTATTTTCCTGACACCAGCTGGTCAGTGATTTCACCTCATCTCTGTAGGCACTCTTGTTGTTGGTAGTGGTGAAGCCCAGGATGGTGGTGTCATCATTAGCGTACTTGAGGATGACATTTGAGCTGTGCTTGTACAGTCATGTGTAAATAGAGAGTACAAGATCTGTTTTTTCATTTTGCACTCATCTCCACACCACCTACACACCTCCTCATAAAATGATTCACATTTTTACTCACATGCTCTTTCATACATCCACCTCTGCTTCATCCACCTTCTAGTCCCTGAGCTTCATCAGCATCACACTGCTGCTCTCCTCCTCCTCCTCCCCCTCTCCTCTGGATTCCCACAGCTGGCACACTTCATTACTCAGTTTGAAAAGTGCAGCAGCCACACTAAAACAACGGTTGCAGAGATTTCTCACCGACTTCTGGTCGTCCAGAACATCAGGAATGGCACCAAAAAGAGAACCCTCCATTAAAAAGTCTCCTTCGCCAGAGGCCCAACCGCAACTGGGTCCTCCCTACCCGTGCCTGCCTGCAGCTCCTGCAGCTCCAAAATCCATTCCAGAGCAGAAGCCGAGGATGCTACGTCCTTCTGATTCACCATTTGACCCCAGTACTTTGGAGGTGAGTGGATTAGTTGATATTATGCTCATGTGGGGTATTCATTATTTGTGTCTTTTAAATAAAGTATGCTCAATTCATTCAGACGTATGTCATACATATATAATTCACACACAAGATGTATGTCAGTTGTATTAATCTAATTAACAATATTGGCTATTAGAATGGGATGATTTTATCTTAATTTACATAAGAGTGTTTGCAATTTGATCTAAAAGAACTAGCCCACATTCTGTAGCTTCAATCTGAAATTAGAACAAATCTAACTTTAGAACTAAAATGGGCCACAGACTAATGGTTGTCAGTCAGTGACCTCCATAGACAGTTTCCTGCTACACAGTGAGATATTTTTAATTCTCTGTAAGGGTCAGGATTGCTGTTCAAAACTGAAATCAAACCGCAATGAGTTATTTTTGCAAAAGAAAATCCATCTTTATGAAAACTGAAAAATGACAAATCAGGGGTTTACCCATGCTTATAAGGGCAAGTGGTACTCCCAAATTTTGAAATGATTTTTCTCTCAGCTTATCCTCTCAGTTTCCTGTCATAGAGTTTTTAAAATAAATGATTCAGCACAGAGGCAGCACGGTGGCGCAACTGGTAGAGCTGCTGCCTCTCAGCGAGCAGGTCCCTGGTTCAAACCCCGGTCCAGGGGCCTTTCTGGGTGGAGTTTGCATGTTCTCTCCATGCATGCGTGGGTTTTCTCCGGGTGCTCCGGTTTCCTCCCACAGACCAAAAACATACATGTTAGGCTGATTGGTAACTCTAAATTGTCCCTAGGTGTGAGTGAGAGAGTGAATGGTTGTTTGTCTCGTTTGTCTCTATGTGGCCCTGTGATGGACTTGCGACCCGTCCAGGGTGTACCCTGCCCCTCGCACAGTGATTGCTGGACATGGGCACCAGCGACCCCCGTGACCCAAAATGGAATAAACGGGTAAAGAAAATGGATGGATGGATGGATTCAGCACAGAACGAACAAGTTGTTTACATTTCTTGCAATATATGACTGACATAAGTGTGTGAAATTTAAACATTTGATCATCAATGCACAAACGTTTTATTATTAAAGTGGTGAAAAAACACAAATTAATGATGCCCCACACAAGACAGTTTGTTGTTATATGCTTCAGCTTGGTTGATACTTGAGCTTTGCTGCCACCTTCATCAGCCTTATGTGTTACACTGCACTGCATGGGTTTGTGAAGTGAGACTGTCCTACTTAGCCTGTGAGAAGAAGTAGGCCACTGTCCACAGGAAAGACTTACGCCTGGGCAAAGACAGTAAGTAGATTGAAAAGACTGTTAGGAAAAGCAAGTTCACTGACCTCCATCCCTCATGCATGTCCAGCTCCATCCTTAATACAAAGTAATCAAGAACTTTCATAATTTTTTGTTTATTTTTAGATGGGCTTTGGGAGAATATACTCACGGGAACCTTCCAAGATCTCACAATGTGGAATCAGCACAGTTTCTGAGAACATCAGCTGCTTGCAGAGTCAGATATTTCCCCTATTCCCAGTCTTGTATCATTCATCCAGTGGCGTTGCTCCTGTTGGTTTTCAACCTACATACCCAGTAATTGTATTTCCACAGAGTAGATGTACTGATCATCATGATTCTGACCAGCATTCAAAAGTTTGTACCGAGACATTCCTACGACTTGCTTGATCTGGTCTGTCATTATTTCAACCATTCATGATGGACTGGCAAACTGCCCAGGTTGTACAGTCTCTTATCCAATGACAGTTGGGGATAAGCACCTGCTTTCTGCAACCCTCCTGCACAGGATCAAGCAAGTACAGAAAATAAATGGATACATCAATTACACTTTAATGCTGCTGTACTCCCAGTTAATCCTACTTCCCAAAAAAATAGAAATCGTCACAAAATCTCTGACTCAGGAAGAGATCACACAAATCTATTAGTGTCAGCTGAAGTACTGAAGAATGGTTGTGTTTACCATGTTGGCCAAATTCGCTTGGCACAGCTCAAGTTTTCAGATCTTGGGTGTTTGCTTGGGTGGATGCTATGTTCCTCGGATCATGCTTAACATTTTTTCAGGCTGTTTTATTTTTTAATGGCATAGTTAGTAGTACCCACTCAGAGTACTTCAAAGTGTGAATAAGCTCTTTATAATTATCTTTTTTTTCTTCTTCAGCACTAGAGACCTGCATTTTAAAGTCTTGTGGAAGAAATAAACGTGTTTTGCTATCAGAAATAATAGCTGCATTTACACTTCTTGTTTGCAATATTCAACAATAAATAATAATTTAAATTGTTAGTTCTGTGCACAGTCACTTCACAGTGAAGCTCTTCAGTTCTACTCATTCTGCTTGAGTTTGGGTCATCCCCTCTGAATTTTCCACTAATTATATTAAATCCTTCAAAATGAACTGCATTTAAATGTTACTGCAATCACAAACAGAATTGTCCAGTAGGTTTAAAGATCTATAAAGTGTGTAATTTATACAAACAGCAGCAGCCTGATGTTGCTTCTATATATGGTGTGCAGCAGCAGTTAATCCGGTCTTCCTGCTGCGACGTCACGTCGCACGTTCTATGACGTCATTACGCAGCGGAGCGAAGGTTTTTCTCGCTCTGCCTTGGGTCGCGTTAGTCTTTGGTTTGCCGTCGTTTCGGGACACACCTCAGCCTACACAAAAATGGTAGGTTTTCTTCGTTTCACACAACTAAATAGCCATAGCTCAGCTGTGCAAGTTGATATGAATATTTAACAAGAATATATATATAAATATATATTATATTGCTTTTACAAAATCAGTTTAACGTCTGAAAAAGCCTGTCCCAAGCGGAAGTGCAACTTTTTTTAAGCTAGCGTTAGCTTTGTCCGTAAAATTACACGGTGATCTTTTCGAATTGCTTGTATGTCTTGTCTGATCTAAGTTTTATAAACGTGCTTTAGTTGGACACTTTCCTAGTTTTACATTACAGTAAAATATGTCAGAGCCACTGACGTCAACCCGATGGATTTGCTCATCAGAAACAACCATTTTCATCTCGCTTAATTTCTTCCTGAACAGTCTGACTTCTCAGAAGATCAAATCCTCGGTAAGTGTTTGAATGTGTGTGTTTGTGGGGACATTTCCATCAGATTCTTCTTGTTTCGCATGCTTACATTCTTGATCGTGTCCGGTGAAACTTTGCCCTGTTTCGCTGCTGATCACCCGCTTCTCGTTGCAGTAGTCGTGGTTTCGCCTTGTACTTTCTTCTCTATAGCTGTAATTTTTTTATCACTTTTCTTCTTGCAACTGCTTGATCTTTTCAGATTGAATTTAACTTGGATCAAATCCATGGTAAGTCGGCGAAAGGGTCTCGCCTTGCACAAAAAACAAAACAAAAAAAAACCAGTAGCAGTTATGGGTGTGTAAGGTGTGATCTGCATGTCAGTTCTGGAGCCATATGTTTCGTAAATACGTCTAAAAACCGCTCTGTACAGTTGTCTAGTACGTCCAAATCATTACACAATGTATAAATCTCGTCATCCTTGACCGGTGTTGTGGTGTTTTTTTGTTTATAAGATGTTTTTACAAAGCCAAATGTAGTCTTGTTACACTGTGTTGGATCCTGCTTTTATCAGATAGTTGTCATCTTGCTTTCCTTGAAATCTTCCTAGTAGCTCATCGGCTTTGTGCCCATTTTTGGTGCTGGATAAAGTGGTGGATGGTTTTTTTGTTTGTTTCAGAGCTGGTTTGTTTAAATACTGACATAATAGGCCATCCTTACTCTCACTCTCCTCCTCCCCTCCTCTGATACCAAATATGGTGTTGGGAATAGTGCTAACATGCCAGAAGGGAAGAGGCACATTCCTCAGATCAAGGAGGGAAAAACTCCACAATGGTACTTTTGGGAAAAACGTCCCATAACACCAAGAACACTGTTATTGTGCAATCCAACCTTATGTCTCTCTGATGGTTAGATATGAGCAAAGCCTTTATTTATTTTTTTTATCTTAAATAGACTGGCTGATGTTTGGTTAAAGCATTATTGCTCCATGATAAAACCTTGGCTCCATTTGACATAAACAAATTCATACTTGTTCTTATGAATCTTTATGATAGCAAAATATATATTCATTTATATACATATGTATATACTGTATTACATTTTGCACAATCTTCTGCAATATGTGTCAGAGCTTGGAGTGTTACGGATGACTCAACTACTACCACACCAAACTGTAGCTCACTATCTGTAAAATTACCCGAGTTAAAGCCATTTTGTTGTTTGCTAAAGTCAGTTTATCTGTGCAGCCATCTTGAAATGGCTTGACTCCAAATGTTAGTGAGCTGTAGACGAACATCCAATTTCAATTTTCCGTTTCAGTTTATTTCTATAGCGTCAAGTCACTCACAACAGAAGTTGTCTCAGGGCACTGTGCAAAAGCATTCACTTACAATAATAAAAGCCAATTAATAAACATTATCTATCTAAGGGAGCCAGCAGATTGTGTTGAATCTTCATTTTGTCGCAGTCTCCCATCCTGAGCAAACACAAAGGCAACAGTGGAAAGAAAAATCTCCATTTTAACAGGATGAAACCAGTAGAACTAGGCTCAGGATGGGCGGCCATCTGCTTTGACCGGCTGGGGTTTGATGGTATAGGAAGGAGAAACGGGCATAGAATTATAGTGTACTTTCTATTGGAAGAAATACAAAAAAAAAAAAAACACATGTTAAGGGTAAAAATAATTTTTTTTAGCAGCAGTGAGGAAATGTGGTCAATTTGACTTCCATCAGGCTTAAGCCTTTATCCAGTGATTACTTCCTGAAAGTTTCACTAACATCACTCAAGCGTTTTACAAGATATTTTGCTAACAAACAGGATTGACTCGAACAGTTATTGACAAAGTTTTAAGCAAAACTATTGCCCAACGTGTGGCCCTTGGCCTCGGACTGACTTGTAGACAGTAATGAATGTCTGTGGAAACTTTTTCACTGTGATCTTCTTATGTGTGATTATATATAAAAAATATGATCGTGAAGCACACGGAGCATGTTGTGTTTAAACAAAGATAACCAAGCATGCATTTTCCTAATAGTGAAGCTTTTTTTGTGAATAAAAGGTGAAAACGGGTGCATTTTCTGAATTGAGGAAGCTGGAGGAATGTTTGCTGTTTGAATTAGCATACTACAGAGAAAAATATTACGGTATTCTTCTTTTGTTGCAATACATTTGACATTTGATAGTGGGGTTTTTTATACAAGTTAAACTACTTTTATATTTATTTCAAATAAATCTGAGTATGGAAACATAAGTTATGGCTCCCCTTCCTTCTCTAAATTGTACCACATCAGTGGAGAATTTGTTCATCTCTTATTTATCTGTTATAATGTGATGTTTTGGGGTTTACTGCTTGTTTTCAGTCTGCGTTCCAATCATCCTAATTTTATGTGTGCTGCTCTTTTACACATGGCTGCTTTGTGTTTGTTGGTTTTATTTGTTTTATGTATTTTTTTTAGCCATCTGTGTCATTTTTTTAATAAGCTATATGTCTGTCCTGCAGAGTATAAGGAGGCATTCCTGCTGTTCGACAGGACAGGAGATGGGAAGATCAGCTTCAGTCAGTGTGGGGACGTGATGCGGGCTCTGGGACAGAACCCTGTAAACGCTGAGGTGTTAAAAGTCCTGGGCAACCCCAAAGCTGATGGTAAAAAGAAAATTATAAACGTAAACCGAAAAAAATCGTAAAAACTTACTATTATTCATTTTGTTTTGAATTTTATATTAATTTCTTTATCAAGGGTCTAGACTGTGAAGCTTTTTGTCAAATTTGAATCAGATTTGCAATTCTGAAGATCTGGAACTAAGCCTCGAATAAATATCAGCATCAGTATGGACAAGACCTGTCATCTCCATAATGCCCAGTGGGCACAATTAAAACATTTTGGATTGCCATATAGCCATGTCTGTTCAATAACCAGCTGGGTCTCTCTTTTCAGTCTCACCTTAAAACTATCGATTGACTAAATAAATAAATTTGTATCCTCCTGTGGACACAGTTGTCCAGAGTTTTTGATTTTCATTAAATAGCATCAACAAGTTAATGGCATCTGCAAGTTTTTAAAGAGGCCAAAACAATCTGATGTGAAACTTTTAAGATGTATATGTTGTAAACATATTACAAAAAGAAAAGAACCATGTTGTATTTCACATACTGTGGAACGTTCTTTTTTTCTAGACAAAACATGTTAACTGATTTAAATATAAACTTATTTGACAACAAGAGGTCAACTGTTTAGTAGCATTTTATAGACAAAAATCAACCAGTCTGCAGAAGAGACAGAGGACTGGTCTTTTATGTCATAAAAATTGTTATAATTGTTCTTCAAATAAGGAAAAATGCTGAAGTGACTATACTACTGAGACTTGCTGCAGTAGCCCGGGGCTCATTGAAAGCTTACTTGAACACAATACACTGATGTAATTTTTGTCTTCAACTCGTTGAAAAAAGTTAAACAATTTAACCTGCAAATCTGTTACGGTATTTTAAAGTGAGGAATTAAAAATTTAAGAATAGATTAAGATGCTCTTTTCCTCTGTTTTATTTAGTTGATCATTTTTACCCCTAATCTTTGTTCTGCAACATTTATTCTTTTGTTATTGTTTTTTCTAATATAATTATATATACATTTATTTATATATTTGCTTATTTTGTCACCAATAATGTATTTGTAGTGTGTTTAAAACGCATACTAATTAAAAAATAACAGTTGTCTGTTTGTTCTAAGATTTACAATTTGGAGTTTCTTAGGTACTAGTGAAAAACAGATTTTTACAGATATATTAATTTTCTCCTTGTAATAAAAATGGAAAAAACTTTCAAGTTTGAAATTCTTGTAAACACCTTACCTTAGAAATAGACTCTTAATTCGTTTGATTGATACAAATTTTCTCTCGTGTTGCAGAAATGAACACCAAGATGCTCGACTTTGAGCAGTTCCTGCCCATGTTTCAGGCCATTGCAAAGAACAAAGACCAGGGCTCCATGGAGGACTTTGTGGAGGGACTTCGTGTGTTTGACAAGGAGGGCAACGGCACAGTGATGGGAGCAGAACTACGTCACGTCCTCACCACATTAGGCAAGTTGCATTCATATACTGTAAGGAATATATTGATTGAAAAAAAAATCAGTTGACATTAAACTTCTGTTTTTTAAAGAAAAATGTTTCTTTTTCTTTGGTTAATAATAAATAAAACTGAATTTGTGTACAAACAGTGGAAATAAAAAACTGCTTATTCATTTGGTGTCTCTACACAATCTTTTCTGCACTGCACTCAGAACTGATCTGTTTATAAGTCCCTGACGTAACTTCTTGACAATCTAAATGAATGTTTTTACCTTTTGCCTTCAGGTGAGAAAATGACAGAGGAGGAGGTGGAGACGCTCTTGGCTGGACACGAAGATGCAAATGGCTGCATTAATTATGAAGGTGAGAGCAAAAAACAAATAAATACTCTGTAATTAAACTCAAGTAAAGCTACTTGATTTATTTATCATAAATACCGTAGTCTTGATGAGATGATCTTGAAACCTCGTTGATGCACGTCACTGCGGTGTTTCATTTAAAACTTGTTTGCGTCAGTAGACTGAGGGCTGAAGTATAGCTTGGATTTTTGTAAATGCGTTTGCTTACGTTCTTCCTCCAACTGTCTTGACTAAAATCTTGTCATGTGAAGTTGACTTTAGTCTTTGTCTTCTAACTCGCTGCATAAAACGACTTGGTCATCAACTTTTGGTACAAATCATAGGAAATTCAAAGATGTATTTCAAAGTAACACGGTTGTAATCCACAACTTAAACTTTCAACAGGGCCTTTCTTGGGACGTCACATAATGTGTGTTCTCTTCTAACACTAATTACTGCGTGTTGATGAAATATGATTGGATTGTAATATCTGACGATGTGTTCAATGTTCTTCCTCCACAGCATTTGTTCGCCACATCATGTCAGGCTGATGGCTGGTACGGGCATTAATGTAAACATTGAGGGGGGGGACGGACACCTCCAGGCTTTACTGCTCTTGTGTTCTAAAATACCCCATCCAGCTAAACCTATTCTAACAATACTAGTTTATGATTGCTTTGTTCAGATTGGCAACAAGGGTCAGTGTGTTATTTTAAAGTAGGTCTGACCTGTAGGTTTCTGTGGAAAAGCCTGGCAGTGTCCCTCACCTTCAGACCTGAGGCTTTGAACAACGTGTAGCCTCCTGCCGCTCCATTTCTTTCCTGCAGCCCTTTGCCTTGACGCCTGGCTGCAGCATGCCTCTCTGCATGGGTCCGTACATTCTGTACGGGAAAACGGTGGACACAGGGAAGAGACTGGTTTCATTCAGGCAAAGCCTGGTGGTAACCTATAACTGCACTGTGGTGTAATCAGGCGTCTTTCCTCATTTTATTTGCATGTTACTGGTGCCTTTTTCAAACAGGTCTTTTCTTTAGTTGGTGTCGGAGGAGTTTTACATTTGTGCGCCGTGTGTAGGCACCGGATTTGGAAGAATGGACAAGTTCCTTTTTTCCACTACTAACCAAAACATTCCATTAGGTTGCTCTGTTGCTGACAATTTTCTTTTATGTACTGATGAAAACTGGAGTTATACAGTAGCTGGCTGCACTGACTGGACTGTAGCTCCCCAATCTTCCCTTTTCTCTGCTTCTCAGCTAAAGGAAAATATCCATCGAAGGCTTCTCTAACCAACTTCCTGTGGATCTTAAAGAGCCAGCTGCTTTGGCTGAAAGGAGATCGAAATAATTACCTCACCTTTTTCTTTATACCTTATATGACTGACCCTCGTCTTTGCTCTGGGTGAGCAGAACATGAATGGGGGGCGGGGGGGTCTGCCTCCAAATGCAGCATCTACTACTTGAACTCACCATGCTGTAGTTGGAGGTTTCTCCATTATTTTAATCAATAAAACTAATTTTTCCCTCTTCGTTTGTCTTTTCCAGAACTGGTCAGAATGGTCATGAGCGGTTGAAGATGAAGTCCATTACACACTTTTTTTTTTTTCTGTCATGTCCATTTTTGCATTTAGCTTTTTCAGACCTACACAACTTTTTTTTTTTTTTTTTTTTAATAAGACGGTTTTAATTTAAGAAGTGCCTTTACATTCCTTAGGAAAAATCATAGGTGACCATTTTCAGCTCTGTTCATTTTTATGAGCAACTTGTATCACTATACGTCATGCAACATTTATAACATAAAAGTGTTTTGTTGATGCCGGTCAACATTAAAACAATAAAATATTAAATATGTACAAAATGCTACCGGTTGTCTTCATTTGTCAAAACTGATAACTATAGAGAGAAAAAAACAAGTATATCAAAATCCATAGTTGTATAAATGATGATTGGGTTCCTATGTTATTACTGTATTAAAGTTTTTTGCTACATATTTTTTTCTTTAGTCAGTTGTGTTCAGTTGTCTGTAACAGCAGAGGGCAGTGCTGCTGCTAGAATCTAAAACCAAAACCATTGCAGTTGAAACATGGATCAGGAATGTCTTGATCAACTTTTAGTCAATACCTGAGCCAACTCAAAAATTAAATTACGCATGCACCCATGGACTCCTGTTTATAATTTACTGTTCGCATCTAATGTCTTTAATATTACAATAAAAAAGATCAAAAATGTTTTCCTTTTTTTATAGAAATGACAAGACATGAGCAGGAAAGGGCTGTTCAGTGGTTTCCTGACCTTTTCCTAATTTTCCTCTCAAGCAGTCTCTACCATTTCCCCTCATTAGACACCGCAGCCATTGGAGTGTGGAGCTCGTGTGAGGTGAGGTTCAGGAGGATGTCATAGTCCACTGCTGAATGGGTTCTGTGCTAATTACTCAGTGCATGTGTGTGTGGTCGATAGAAGTCAAGGCTATTGATTATTTTAATCCTCCTATTTGTGAGTCTGTGATCCTCGTGGCTCTGCATCCGACAGGGGAATCACTAATGGGCCTCGGCACAGCCCGTCTCAGCCCTCTCCCCGTCCAATTAACTTTCAGCTGGAGTCTGCCAGAAGAGAGCCGTGCGCTGAGGCCCCAGCACAGCGCAGCTTCATCCCTCTTCTGCTCAGAAGCAACAGATTCACCAAATCCGTTACTTCTGCAGTGACACCAGCTCTCTCCTCTAATTAGGTACTTTTAGTCAAGAATGTAAGGCATATTCAACATTCCTTCTGTTTTTAACACAGAGAGTGACTTGATTCAGAAAAACGACAAATGCTTGATTGTTTTATAAGAACTGGCTCATATTTTGAAATTACAAATTTAGTGTATCAGTAGTTTTATGACTGGTGTAGAGATTGAGTCGTAAACGATACTGACATATCTAACGTTTCATAAAAAAACTATTCAGGTTATTCATAAACTCACTGTAAACAACCAAAGGGGGGAAACAACAATGTAAATTTCTTTACATCGTTTAGAATTGTTCTTGTTTCCTTAAATGCAAAATAATGTCTTAATCATGTGAATATCTCTGCCTCAAAAATATTTTAAGGGCTTTTTTTTTTCCAATACAATTTATTGATAATCTGCAAATCATTCAATAATTAATTGATCATTGTAATCCTATTAAAACTTTTATTTGCTGAGAAATGTGGCAAATGTTTGGACACAAACGTTTCTTTCCAGGTTTATTGTTTCACATTGGGCTGACTTGATCATACGGGCTATGAGGATGAGCGAGGAGACCAGCGGGACATCCAAAATCAATATAAAAATATTAAACCGAATACTAATAATACTTAGATTTAAAGGAAAAATAGCTTGGATGGTGTTAAAGGTGTGCTTATTCCACCTTATATAACACCGAACCACTCTATTTGTAAAACTCTTCTAGTGATGTCACCTTTAAAACTCATATATTACCTGTGTTTTAGTAAATCCAGTGTGTTTTATGAGGTCTGTGTTGCTGCAGCAATGTTTGGATCATACTGGGCTGTAAGACGTATTGAAAATCCATTTTGCAGCAGCCGGTGGTGCGGTCGCTTCGATCTCTGCTGTAAGTTCATGTAACCGTGCCATATATCTAATTCACAAGTCTGTCCGAGTGGTCATTTCAAATAAAACCCAACACGCCGTCTGTTTTAGCAGTTGAGCTTATACTCTGCCCTGGCCTTGATACGTGGAAACAATTTGCAAGGAAACCGACAAAGTGACAAGGTTGATAAGGATGTTTTAATAGCAGTTGGTCACGCAACCTTTTCAATATACCAGGTAGTTTGTTTCAAAGTTAATAAGTTTACACATGATGGTACTTTGATAGGGCTTCTTTAAAAAAAAAATGCATACAGGGCATTTTAAATTTCAAGTAAAGTGACTGATGTTCTATATACAACACCGAATGAAAGTAAAACACTTAAACCTGACTTCATCACCATCATTTTCTGACATGTTTATAAGTTTATCATCCACTCACACAACTTTCTCACCGGAAAACACGTTTAGAAGTCTCACCTTATAGTTTTTTCCAGTTTTGAGTCTTTTTGTTAAATGTGTGAGAATGAAAACAAAGGAGAATATAATTTGTGTATTTATTCCAATTTTGACCAAAGACAGACTCAATCACAACAATGATTTCATCATATTTACTTTAAATTGTAATACTTTCCCATATTTGTAAAACAAAGGCAGACCATTCAATTGGAGACATTAAGAGTAAAGTGGACAAAAAAAAAAGAGTGCATTCTAGCATTTTGCTTTCAATTGAAGACACCTTTGATACCATTATTGCATTTTAACGATCAAACTTAGGGTCTTTTTGTATTTTTAGTCTATATTTTAATACAGAATGCATTATAATATTCGAGATATTTCATAGCCTCAGTATGAAATCGTTATTTGCATCTATATTGTACGCTACATATTCTGGCATTCATGTTTGTACACTAAAAGATACCAACAAATGCAACTGCTGATTTCATACAGGTAATTTGGTTCACACCTCATGTTTATTCAATCCTTTGAAACAATCTTGTGGTATCTCTGTGCAAATGTGTGTGTGTGAGTGTGTTTGCTTGAATGCATGCATGTGTGTCCATGTTATGTGCATTCATTTGCATACTGTACATATCTGTTGGAGTGTCACTTTGTGTGTTTGTATGTTGTTGTTTTGTTCCTCACTCTTTGCAAATTCAAATCAGTCTGGGTAGATGAGGAAGCCGGAGAAGGTGCTGTACTTGTTCTGGTTTCCTCCGTGGACCTTCCCTCCATCCAGCTGCACGCACACCTCGTCACCTACGTCCAAATGCAGGATGACGCTGTTAGAGGCGTAGTCGTAATTCTGATCTGCATCCTGAGCGATGGCGCTTGCTCTCACCTGTTCGAGCACACGTGCATTCACAATTAGAACAAAATTACACACGTGCAAACAAAAACACATCACTTTTTTCTCCTATCGACCGGATTAAAACCAATTATGTCAGATGAAACACTCGACATCACAAACTTAACTGACACTTAAGCTGATTGATAAGATGACCTCTGACCTCACAGATGAGCACGATCTCTCCATCTCTCATTGATCAGCTGTGGATGGGTTAAGACTTGAGGATGGAAGTCTGAATGGGTTGTAGAGATAAGCTCGCTCACTGGGGACAACAGGCTGTCTACTGGGAAACGAGTTCAGCCAATAAACATCACTATCCACGTCAACGATTGACCTGTTGCTTCTGATGCGGAGCCATTCGATATGCATGATACTGAGCGGGGTAGACAGTTTCACATTTGCATGCTTTGTGCGAGTCTGCGCTCATTGACCCAGCAGCAGTGGATTTTTACTTGTTTGTTAACACATTTAATTGGGTTTACTCAGTGTGGATCTATGCAGGCCTGCACGGAGTTTCTGTTCTACAAGGAACAGGATTTGTCCATGTATAAAAAGAAACATGTCAAAGCTTTTGAAATTGCTTAAAATATGAAAGTCTTTATTTTTCGATGGGTTAATCGAAGTTGGATGTGTCAAATGCTTTAAGGGGGGAAAAAAAGTAAAGTAAAGCATAAATAGGATGTATCAATAATTGTGGTGTAGCAGCTCCAGTCATCAGACATGTGTCAGCCATCAGTGGCCTTGTGTCTGGCTTTGTGTCCATCCATGCTGGGAGCACTCAATCTATGTCAGCACCCAGACAAGCGACGCACATCTCCATGACAGCCACAGAATATGATCTGCAATTCAACTACCATCATGTCACTCCCATCACTGGGACCCCTTTCTCCCCAACAAACACACATCAATTTGAAAATAGACCGTCACCGAGCAGCAGAGCCTGAATTACTCTCAACTACAAAAAATAAATAGATATGTGTTTTTTTCCCGCTTCACCAATCTACTTTGTCCTCGTCTAGACACATTGCTCGCTATTTATCAACCCTGAAGTTGTGTTTTTATTGCCTGAACATAATCTGTGGGTGTCATGAAATAAAATTCAGCAGCAACCTGTCCATTTTGAACCGGACCGATTAGGGGAGCTGAGAAATAAATCTGACAGCTCAACAGATGCCCAGCTGCTATTACTCCAGACCAACGATGTGTGTCCAGTTTGGTGTTTCACTTTATTCAACAGGCACATGTTTAAGTTCAGATAATCAGGCACTATTTATTCAAATTAGTTCATTCAAAGGCGGCACAGTGGTGCAGTTGGTAGAGCTGCTGCCTCTCAGCGAGAAGGTCGCGAGATTGAATCCTGGCTGGGGAGAAATTCTGGGTGGAGTGTGAATGGTTGTTTGTCTCTATGTGTCCCTGTGATAGACTGGAGACCTGTCCAGGGTGTCCCCTGCCTCTTGCACAGTGATTGCTGCATCTAGATGCTATTGAACCCCATGACCCATAAAGGACAAAGTGAGTAAATGATGGATGGATGTGATGGAGTTCACCCAATTGCAGATTATTTCAGTTTGCTCATTTAAAGTGATTGTTCTGCTCTGATGATGAGACATTGTATGTGAACAATTATCATCTCACCTGTTGTAGATCCCTCTTTGAACAACCTCAGTTTGGTCATTAGTGATCAGTTTTGACTTGTCTGAGTGGAGCCAGGACCAGTGTGTATTGTCTTGAAATGCCACAGCAATTTGCAAGAACATTAAATTGCATATCTTTACTTATTACAAATTATTTATAATTTGCACAGCATCCTGGAGTAAGTTGCAAGCACAGCGAGCAGCAGCTGGCTGTAAAATTTCTTGTACAGCCTGTGATACTTTTCACAGGAAGATCACTGTGTTACTGCCATAGCAGAACTGAAAACAAAGTAAAGCTTTATCAGTTATTATTCTATAGCATATTAGTTAAAAAATATCATAAAATAAGTACATGGTAATTACAGGAAATTCTATATATATTTTGTTTACATTCTAAACTTTTAGCTCTCAAAGGACCATCTCTCAAAGAACAACACCAGTGCATCGCCATCTGTAAAGGTTATATTGTTCTGCTTGACACGAGTAGCGACAGCCACTATCACATTTGCATCTTTGGCTGCTTCTGACAGCGATGCTGTTGTTGCAACTTGTTATCGACGGCACAGCGTGTGTCACCCTGCTCATTATTTTGACTGAACTGGAAGAAAATATGGGAAGACCCTCACCCCCTCAAGCCTGTCAGACATTAATGATCTTAGAAGTGCTGGGCAAAAAAAACCCCATCAAATACTACGCATTTATTGTTATTTTGGATTTGATAGATGAAATGATGGTTTAGCTGATGTTCTTGGGGCCGAAAGATTAACGCTACATCTATTAATGCAGACACCAGACAGAGTCACAGGGGAGGCGATGTGGGATTAGGACAGGAAGCCGACAGAGGAGATGGATACTACTAGAAGACAGACTGATCCATGTGAAGCAGGCAGCGTACAGCGCTGATCCTGGAGCTGGAAGAGCTGTGAGCCATGAGGTGGGGGGCCCCCAGGGCTTGCCTGTGGCTATCTCAGCCTTCTGGCTAGCCCCTTTCTTTATTGGGCCTCCAGTAAACACGCAGAGGACCACAGGCAAGAGGAAGGTGAACGAGGAGGGGGGTTTCTCAAAGAGCAGAGTCGTAACACAAAACACTGACAAGGATAGACAAAATAAAGCGAGGGGAAGGGAAAACGAGGGGTCAGAGAGTTGATGAAGGGGGGCAACGAGTAACAAACTGATCAAGTGGGGCTATTTTGTGAGACCAAGGGAGATGCGAGGGTGTAGTATGAAGTTTTGTTTTTATCTGCGGTGCTTTGCTCCACTGGTAATAAAACTGACAGGATTCATTCGCTGTGATATACTGACCTCTTACAGCGGAGACAATAGAAAAGTCGCAGTTAAACTTGCCTAAGGGACACCAGTGCATGGCAGGAGGCTTGGGGAAGTGGTGAGGGGCGACGTTGTGGAAATAGAATATTTATTGAATAGGTTTCCCCTCTTCACTGGGAGCCCAGGGATTACACGACGACAAGCGATTTAGGCACCGAACCGTGTCTGGGATTGCTATTACCTGCCATTCACTATTACAGCATGTGGTCCCCAACACTTGAGGCATATTGTTGTATTTTATTTACATCTCACATGAACTAAAAAAAATAAAAAATTGTCCTGCCTTTCCCAAGTTAATTCTGCGGACACCTTTCTTCTCTGAGGCTAATTTTGTTCCACTTGCAGCATATCTCTGTCTCCTAAACTGAAACAGGTACAGGTCATTACAGCAGGTGATGACATTTTAACATTATCGTGTGAATTAACTTGACCTTTAACTAGGCTATTAAAAGAGCCCGTGACAGGTGAAAAAGCAAGAGAGAGAGAAGAAATGCGCACCAAGAAAGTTTCTATTTGTCTCAGTAGCTTTAAAAATATTTTATATAAGTATATAGATGAGATTTATAGGAACTAAATGACTGGATGAGCAGTTCATGTACCCATTAATGAGGGGGACAGGAGATGTATTACTTCTCTTCATAACTAGAAAAGCATGCCAACTCTACCATACACTGTCTTAAAAACATCTGGTACTAACCTGGAATATTAAGTCATTTCCAAGACATTTATCCATGACAGGACATTAGGAATAGATTAATTAAACCCATTTATTATAGGAAACAAGAAGCGTTTATGATTATTTATTTTCAAGAATGTTTAAATCTATATTGAGTTATCGGGGGTCCTAATGAAACACGTCCATCTATCATTTACCGAAGCTGAGCCTGAGCAGATGACATACATGATGGATAATGCACTCAACAAGAACTGGATGTTACTGTCAGTCAAATCTTCACAAGTCAGTCGCAAACACAAGTTGTGCCCCCTTCAATCACAAATCCCCTGCAACTTGAGAAATATGAGACTGCAGTGATCTGTGAACGTTAGGTCAAGGTGTGAGCAATTAGACTTCACAGGGTGGTGGGGTTAGATATTTGGTCCGTAGAGATCCCAAAGAACATGACTGTCATATACATTTAACAATCCAGGAGACCAAAACAAAATATCACTACTACTTAGAGTTATACAACTAGACATCAATGCACTGATTTATAAGCTGCATCAATCTTAACTTGGTCAAGTGGGAGAAAAAACAAGTTTGGTAAAGATTTTTGTTTTCCTTCTCTTTTTCTGCACGACCTTGATCACACGTCAAGCGTTGATGTGGTGAGTGGGTGTCCATCGGTCATCATGCCTGATCTCATCCTGGCCTTCAACACCAGCCTCCCAGATGCCTCATCTACCAGCCCACTGTCTCCAAACCTCCATTAAGTCATCTATCGTCCTCGGCCCCACCCATGACCATCAGCTCACTCGTCTTGTTCTGCTCTCGCCTTCATTGTCTTGTGGAGGACATCTCGGCACGTCCCCAATGAGTTTATATGCTTGTTTCATTCATTCTCACTGACAAATGAGCTGGCTGACCAAGGCGAGGTGAAAATCACCTGCATAAAATTAAACAGGAACCAGGCATTTTGTGGCTAATTTAAATATTTGTTAAAGAAATATTCAGTGAGGTTTAAACACCTACGGTGATGCTTAAACAGGCGTGGTTCATTCTGTGTTCAGAAATGCAACGTACGAAACACACCACCTGTTTACTAATCCCCAGCTGCTGACCGGCCTCAGGCGGGGTACCTGTCTGCCTCGGGGCTTTGAAAACTCCAAACATGATCATGCAGTCTGCAGGATTTTTCTTTCACCAGCAGCTCTGTTTGGGCAGGTCCCCGTAAAGTGGGCGCTTTGTTTAACGGAATTGTTTAACGGAGCTGCCTGACGGGCGTCAGATGGACCTCGGTGACGTTAGATAATTGAGCTGAGTGAAAAAATAATTAATGGAGAATCAATGAACAAGCCGGGATGAGGGATAGGAGAGGAAGGTATGGCGGGTGTACAGGGGGATCTAATCTAAGACGGATGAATTATTTAGCAGGCTAAAATGACTGGAATGACAATACAGCACATTAGGTAAGCAGCCTTAAACACATCTTTGTGATTTCTTAAAAATGTGGAAAGAAGAACTTATTTTAGGTCTCAAAATTGACTTTTGATCAGATTTAATAAGTGTGAATTGTCCTTGGTCTGAGCAGAATGTATTTTCACTTGAGTCCTTGATGAATGAATAAATGTAAAAATCAAGTTGAAGACATTTTCTTTCCTGGAATTGGACTCCTCTGATAAAATCCCTGTGATATTTCCCACCTCTCCACTCCTCTTTCCTCCCAGCAGCCCCTCTATCATTAATTAGTGTCTGGGGAGTGAGGCAGTAGATGAGTGGACTGTCAATATTAAATTCATTATTTCTTTAGCTGAGGTGCAAACTGACTAGTCCACATTCTGACAGACATTTCTCCCGTGCTCTTTTGCACTTCTGTTTAGGTGATAATCAAGCTCTGTGTGTGATACTTACTAATTGGACTGTTCTTTTTGGCACGGCACTGTCTGCATTCTGCCACTTGTCATTTAGCCAAGGCATGTGTGGGAATGTAAATATCTCTGGCTGAAAAAATTAGACTGTATAGCATGAATTCGCCTTAATGAGGACAAGGATTGCCGTTTCATTCTTTGGTTGCCAACCTTCTAAGTGGAATGTGTTCTGACTCTGAAGAGCTCGATGTTGCAGAGGTGAATATGAGTTTATGGCAAAACACATCAACAGTCAGAACAATCTGTTGCATGAGCATGTGTGGCCTTTTCATTCAGACACACCCTCTGCACACCCTCACACATACACACACATTTCTTTTTTACTAACCAGTCCATTCTTCCTCAGGTCTGCCCACATGCTAGTCCCATCACCACCTCTCATTAGAACATGGTAGGTGAAAAAATAGATGCCAGGCAGGGGGCAGGTGAACTTGCCAGTGCTGGGCTCGTAGTAGTTCCCTACATTGGTCACCACATCATCAAATTTCAGTATTTCGTTGCCCTCGTGCTGCTTACGAAGCCCTGCATAGAATGCAATTTTGGGAATGTAGATTGCAGGAGAATAGCCTCCAGGGCCTGGTCCAGGTGGCCCCTGCGGCCCAGCTTTGCCTGGCTCTCCAGGGGGTCCCCGCTCTCCTGGAGGGCCAGGGATCCCCGGAGGTCCTCGTAGTCCAGGCTTCATCCTCTTTCCAGTGTAATCCTGCGGGGGTGGGGACACAGCTGTCAGCTCTTGACCTGGCTGTGAAGTAGCGTAGGGGTCGCACACCATCCTGCAGCTTCCAAGCATCTCATAATGGCTCCCCGTACTTCCAGTGGTGCCCCCTTTGGTTGTGTGGACCAGCAGGGGAATGGCCACCAACAGTATTAGAACCATGGCCACACCAACAGCAGCCACTATAACACGTTTCCTGCGGCTGAGCCGTGAAGCGGCCAGCGTGAGGAAGTCCTCTTCCCCCTTAGCTGGAATAGTGCCGGCCACGATGGAGCCTTTCTGAGAATCAGCTTGAAATGAAAAGGGTTTGAAAGGATAAGAAAAGGATTGGGGGGTGTGTGTGGGGGGGGGGGGGGGGGGGTCAGTGTGCTGCTTGGTCGAGTATGTTGAAGAAGCAAAATGGCTGAAGGCCAGAAAAGAAACAACAGTATAGAAGAAAATCCAACAGTAATTAAGAAAATATTTATAAGACTTTTAGAAAAGGGTCCATGTGACTTGAAAAATTAGCAAAAAATTGACTTGGGTTTACAGGAACACGCTGGAAAACATATTTGTGTTAAAGTCCTTCGGTTTTTAAAAATGTCCGAATCGAAACCAAAACTGGCACAAAAACAGTTTTTTCCCCAATTCAACTTGAAGAACAGAGAGGAGGTTTTCTTTGTTGTGTTCAATAAAGTTCAAATTAATTGATTTTAAAGGGAAAAAAAAGAGTCTCTTAAAGTCCAACACAGCAACACATCATGTGGAAGTCTCACTTAATGCCATGCTGACTGGAATGGAACAAGTTCCTCATTGGTTTCTTTTCTCTGATGATCATCTGAGAACCCCTCACTCTTTTCAGGAATTCAACTATTTTTCCCAACTTGGCTGAGCTGATTCCTCCTCTGCCTTTATCTGGATGTGGGAAGAGAAGAGTGGAGACACTTAATAACTGATACAATTTAGTTTGAATAAAATCACCATTTATTTCATATGTAATTCAAACACAAAGGTCAAAATTTAAAATCGATTTTTTTGAACAGTTTTTTTATGCGTAAAGTGAAATTATGAATTAGCTATCTGATTTTACGAACGATCTTTTTTTTTAGTTCAATTTATTTGTAACCTGCAATAAAACATTGAAGAACTTACCTTGTGTGTCTAAAATCCAACAAGAATCAAAGTGTTGCGCGTCAGTCTCCACCGTGTCGTCCTAAAATGAACAAAGTACTCGGAACTGCCGGAGTGCCAATTTGGGGAGCTGGAAAAGCCGCTGGATGCGCACGAGCTTCCAGGAAAGTAATACGACTTTCTTAATAAAAAGGTGATTTCCCTCCACTTTTTCTTATTTTTTTCAGAGGACAATTAGTAACGTCTGATTAATTTAATCCGAGAAATAAAAATAAAAAAAACACTTTTTGATGCGGCTCCAGATGAGGAGCGCGCGCGCGCGGCAGTGTGACGCTCCACTCTGTGTCTGCGTTCCGACGCGTTTGGTCCACGATCAGTCCCAGTCTGCACCTGTTAGATCTCTCCTCCCCAACCCCTTCCCCCTGCCTCTGCCTCTCTCTGTTACATCTGCATCTATGATCTTATTCCTCTTCTATTTTCCAGTCACAATTATACTTTAGATTTACAGATAACTCCATCTATCAGCTTAACTTTTATTTTTTTGTAGTGTTGTTTGAGTGATCTTTTTATTTCTAATTGCACTGATGCCTCCCATCTGTATGCTGCGATCAGGCCATTCACCTGTTGTTAGGAGCAAACTCTGCATGCAAAATGTTTGAAACTGTGCTGCAATACGAAGGCGGATGTTTTCATCTTCTCTGTGTCAGAAAAGGGAAGACATTGGGGGAAGGGGGGTTGACTGAGCTAAAGCTGCCTTGGTGTGGTGTGAGGAATGGAGAGGAGAGGCTAAATGGTCCCCAGATCATTGTCTGTGTTTGTGACTCGCATCCCACAGCTATACAGCCTCATTAGTGAGACACCCTGCCCCAGACATTGTGCTGCTCTTTTTTCTCTTTACCTAAAAAAACCCCAAACCTTACATATACAGTGCCTGCACACTAGTGTAAATAAACATACGTGCACCCAAATGTATCTGGCACACACAGGCAAAGAGTTTCCACACCATTATTTGTGCAAGGCCATTCATTTTTCACACCACGTGGATTCACGTTTAAACTAAAATCAAATTCTCTCATCACTGTGATTTTTATATGGTTGTTTCAATATTAGCTGAAGGGATAGTTCAGGGTGGGATTAACGTCAAAGGTTATGAACAATTAATATCTTACCTGTTGTAGACAGTTCTTTGAGCAACTATTTCTGAGAAACTTATTTTCACTTGTGAGGAGCTAACAGCGAGCAAGGCGGAGCCCACCATGTTTTACTGTGGTCAAAAGTGTATTACCGTATTGCAACAACTCCAAGCTAATGTAGGTTTTGCAAACACTTCCAAAATACTTTTGGGCCATTTTCAGTTTCATCATCAAGTTTTTACATTGATTTATTTTTAGGGGTTTTGCAAATGCACATAGTTGCAACAACAGCTAGCAGCAGCTTGGGGCACTTCTATACTATAACAGAAAAATCATAGTATTTTTTTTTTCAGTCGTCAAATAAAATTGACAGCAATATATCATATTTTCCGGTGTATAAGTCACTGTTTTTTTTCATAGATTTGTCATTCCTGTGATTTATACACCAAAGTGACTTATATACGTTTTTTCCATATTCATAACACAATTTTTGACTGACACTTTAAATTTCTAACTGCAACAGCAAGTCCTCCCGTGTGTGCTTGCTTCACTCAGCTGGTGCAGGCGGAGGAACGCTGGAAAACTAGCGGCTCCGGCCACAATGGATGGATGGAGTGATGGCACTGCACCACCTATGCGAAATGAAGCTGTTTTGACCAGTAGATAAATGCATAATAAACGCGACGGATCAGCGGTGATGCATAATAAATGCAACTTATAAGCCAAAGTGACTTATGTATGTTTTTTCCTCTTCCTGATGCTTTTTTTTACTGATACGACTTGTACTCCGGAGCGACTATTATGCCAGAAAATACGGTATATGTTTATGAAATATCACTTACATGAATTGCTTTAAACGTTTTGAGACTAGAGACATTTTTAAATGGCACCATTGCACTTTGGACTTGATCCTGCTTGGTCCAGTCGTGAGCTCGTCAGTTTGGTTCATAAAACGATAACAGGTATGTTTTAAATAGTTTGTTGAGTCATCATTTCTCAACTCAGCTGTGTATTTTGAATCAACATAACCAAAAACTAAGTATTTAAATATCTTCATTTTAAAACGTATTTGTTTAGAACCTCATTTGTTCTCATCTAATATTCAGTTTGTGCATGGACCGGAGGTGCAAACACAACAAACATTTTTAGCTTTTTAAAACATTTGATGTAGCGTCGACTGGGCCTAATGCTTATCTTACATTGTGTCATCTTTGGTTGTCATGACACACTGTTACAGGCAATGATTCTAACTCTTGATTTGAACCTGTGTTACACTGTGATGTAAGATATAACAGATGACTTTACAACTTTTTAGCTTAGAAAAATTGAATATGTTACAGAGATATCATTCAAACAATAAAAGGAAAGTAAGAGCAAATGTTAATTCTTATAAGATTCATACAATAATTAAAGAGGGAGGAGTGTGGGGAAAAAAAAGGTGGCCATCCATGAACAGGTTCATAATTCATCATGTACCAGTTTAGATCTTACATTTACAAAGCATTGCTCATACATGATGGTTTTACCTTGTCAAGTGTTAATTACAAATGTTTTTTGCTCATCACTGATCACGTTGGATTTCAAGGACCTTGCAAAGTAAGATTTTCATTGCCAGCTGTAACCACTGTGTTTCTGCTTATGACATTAAACTTCTTGAATCGTAGGAGAGTATTTCTTAAGTGCCTTGTGTCACCTGTCTGACAGACACATGGTAGCATGAGAAGTCTCCATTCATTCATCTAGCCATTAGCTTTACCCACTGTTTTGTTTCTGGACTGCAGGAGTTACTGGTGCCCATATCAGTCACTGTGCGAGAGGCGGGAGACACCCTGGACAAGTCGCAAATCCATCAATGGGACACATAGAGACAAACGAGACAACCATACAAGGTCAAGGTCTTTATTGTCATTCGCATCTCATGTGGTACATGTGGTGGAACAAAATTGTGTACACAGGGTCCCAGTTACATCCTACAAAAGTATAAATTGTAAAAGAAAAACAGCAAAAAGTTCTAAGATATGAACTAAGAAATACGCTAAACACTTAGTGCAGAAACAATATGCCGAACAACAGCAGCATACACACTCCTTTTTACACCTATAGGGACAATTTAAAGTTACCAATCAGCCTAACATGCATGTTTTTGGTCTGTGGGAGGAAACCAGAGTATCCAGAGAAACAAACATGCATTATTATTATTAGTTTATTTGACAGGGACAATGCACACAAACATAGAACAGAACAAGTCTGTGACTGACGCGTTGCACTAAGAGTGTATAGCTATAGCTAATTAGCAACTCCAGTCCCTTGCATGCATGGAGAGAACATGCAAACTTCACTCAGAAAGGTCCCTGCTGAGATTTGATCCGCCATCCTTGTTGCTGAGAGGCAGTAGCTCTACCAACTGAGCCACTATGCCCAGTATGAATGAATCACTTTTCATCAACCACCAATTCTTCCACCTTTCGCTCCTCTGTTATCATGGCTGTTGCTCCGGTAATGTTGGAATCGTCCACTCTCATCCCACCAGATAGGTGGAGGTAGATAATAACAAGGTTTTTAGTTGGCTATCCAAAGAATCGGAATCAAAATCAACCTTTATTGTCATTGTACAGAAACACAACAAAATTACATTTCAGTACAGCCATCCAAAGAAAACAACATGGGTAGATGGGGATGCCAGAGATAAGAACGGGGTTTTGGATTTGTGCACGACACCACAGACAAGGAACAGTTAAATTTATTTATTATTAAATTGCTGCTGGTGGAGGTCTGGCTTCGGGCACAGGTCCGATCTTCACAGTTGAGAACAAGGAGCAATCCTTTTGTTGTTTGCAGAGGATGACATCAAAAGCTGTGAGCAGGCAGAAGCAGAGAGCGGCAAGGTAGAGTACTGGTTTAGGGGTTGTCCATGGGCGAAGCCCAGAATGGCAG